ATGAGCACAACTGAGTGTTCTAGAATTCCCACTCTTCGCAATGTTATCCATAATTTGTTATGATCCACACAGTCGAACGCCTTTGCATAGTTAATAAAACACATCACCTAGGGACCTTAAATGAAAGCCAACAACTCCATTTGTGTCACTGTTGAATCATACAGCATAGTGGTTAATGTATGGGCTTTGAGTTAGACAGACCTAGGTTTGGATCATAGCTCTGCCACTTAGTATCTAAGTAACTAAGAAAAAGTTATTTAACCTTACTAAGCCTTAGTTTCTCTTTAACAAAGTGAGAACAATGTCTACTTCATGTCATTGTTTTGAGAATTAAATGAGATAAGAATATTACAATAAAGATTTTTAAAAGTGCAGTAACACTGTATAATGAAGGACCTGTTGTCCCCCCAACCCATCACAGGTCAATACTTTTATAAAATACAATAAAAATTAATTGAAACAGAAATGAAATTTTTTAAAAAAACAAAGACGTACAAAATAAAATTTTTTATTTGGAAATATGTTTATCAGATTCAGCAGTCATAAAATTGTATTTCAATAAATATAATCAGAATAAACATGTTGTTATTGTTAGGTGCTGTCGAGTCAATTTCAACTCATTGCCACACAGTGTGACAGAGCAGCATTGCTGCATAGGGTTTTCTAGGCTGTGATCTTTACAGAAGCAGATCACCAGCTCATTCGATCTTTCTCCCGTGGAGCCTCTGGGTAGGTTCCAACGGCCAACCTTTCTGTTAGTAGCCAAGCGCTTAACCGTTGTGCCAACAGTTCTTTAGTATAAACATAATGTAGAAAAAAAAGAAAGAATTCCAAAAACTGTGTACTTTTAGATAATTATCATAAAGTATTCCTATTAACTTTGAACTCTGACATTCTGAAATTGTAACTAATCCCAAATTTAAGAGTTAAATTGTATTTCCCATATTAAATTCCTGTGACCACACTTTGAATGAATATTATTTATATTAATATATAAAGTGTGTAATATGACAAATAAGCTTGTTAGGTTGGATTGACAACAGCACTCTGCCTATAGAAGATAAAGAGTATCTAAACTCTTCCCATTTCGTTTTAATAACAGACATAGTAGAGGAACGAGTTTCAAACGGGTATGAGTTTCTGGGTAGCACAAACAATTCAGCACTGGACTACTAGCTGAAAGCTTAGCAGCTCAAACCCATCCAGAAGCACCCCGGAAGACAGGCCTGGCTATCTGCTTTCAAAATGTCACATCCTTGAAAACCCTGTGGAGCAGTTCTACTATGCACACATGGGCTCTCGGTGAGCTGGAATCGACTCGATGGCAACTAACAACAACAACAACATGTTGAAGGAATGGAAGAAGAGATTTTAAAATAAATTCAGCAAGCTTAAGGCTATTTATTTTTAAATCTTATCCAAAAGGACGCAAATGATGCTGTTTTTAGCTTCAAGAATTCATCAGTAACCATTTCCAACAAATGATTCCGTAAAGTTTATAATTAATTTGTATTAACTTGAAAAACTGACGTAAATGGATTTCAGATTTTATACACAGTTTAGAAAATAACCATAATAACATACGTCACTTTTTAATGTAGGCTAGTTCACATGACTCATACAGAGCTCATGTCAGAAGTGACCCACCACTGAGTCTGACAGCACCATACTAGTCTATATCCTGTTCCACAAGACAGATCCACTGACTACTCACTTGGATATCATGGAAATGTCAAGTTGCTATCAAAGTTTTTAAATGCTCTCCTTAATATCTGTATTTAACTCACCATTGCCCAGTAAGACACAGTTTATGGACAGCCACTGACCCAGCAGGCACACTTTGAGAAACAAGCTCTAACACAAAGAGCTCAATACATTTTAACGGCTTTAGGACTTTTTATTAAAATGTAGCCATCTAGAGTTTCACTTAATATAGCTCTCTTCCACACAAACAATTGCAGTCTGTTTACTTAATAGATAATAAACCAAAAACCCGCTGCTTTTGAGTCTATTTTGACTCACAGAGACCTTATAGGACAGAGTGGAATTGCCTCACAGGATTTCCAAGACTGTAACCTTTGCAGTATTGTCTGGTATATTCAATCGCCTCATATGCATGCGAAAGCTGGACAATGAATAAGGAAGACCAAAGAAGAATCGACGCCTTTGAATTACGGTGTTGGTGAAGAATATTGAGTATAACAAGGACTGCCAAAAGAACAAACAAATCTGTCTTGGAAGAAGCACGGCCAGAATGGTCCTTAGAAGCAAGGATAGCAAGACTTCGTCTCAACTACTTTGGACATGTTATCAGGAGGGATCAGTCCCTGGAGAAGGACATCATACTCGGTAAAGTAGAGGGTCAGCAAAAAAGAGGAAGACCCTCAAGGAGATGGACTGACACAGTGGCTACAACAATGGGCTCAAGCATAAAAATTGTGAGGATGGCACAGGACCGGGCAGTGATTTGTTCTGTTGCACGAGTCGAAACCAACTCGACAGCATCTAACAACAACAATCTTTAGGGAAGCAGACTGCCACATCTTTTCTCCAGTGGAGCAGCTGGTGAGTTCCAACTGCTGAGCTTTTGGTTAACAGTTGAGCCACTTAACTACTGCACCACCAGGGCTCCTTTAACTAGGTAATAATGAGAGATAAAGGTTTGAAACAGCTTCAGTTGAAGAGAGAGTCAGACAGCAACAGACTTTAAAAATAATTATTTTATTAAAAAGCCAAAGAGCTCACATTCTTTTTGTGTGTCCTGAAAGGTCCTTTAGTGTCTCCTTGAGACACAGCCCCCACAGTGCTACATTAAAATTCCATTTTTTTTGCTTGGCTTCCTCCCCTACAGTGTTGTATTAAAAATCTTATTTCCTTTGCTGGGCTTCCTCCCCCCCCCAGCTTTGCATTTGAATTCTGCTTTTGCTTGGAGGTTATATGTAAACCCCACTGCACCTGCGTAGTATGATTAAGAATGTTGCTGACATAACTTGTATGAACTCCCTGCTTGTAAACCCCTTTAAAACTAACTTACCTGCTCACCCCTGGGGAGCAGTCTTGGCATCAGCAGCTCCGACTGACTCCTTTTCATTGTGCAACAAAATAAAGGTGACTTTCCCCTTCTCCCACCTCAGTCTCTCGTTTATTGGCCAATATGGGTCATGTCGAGCAAGAACCTGGGGTTTCCACCCGGTAACATTCTTATTTATATGACCTCATCTTTATATACAGGACAATAATGCATAATGTAGAACATTGCCATTCCTATGAGGACAGGAACATTCTGAATTCACTTACAGGAATTAGCAGTCTTGTGTTCATGAATTAATTTCTTTTTTCTCTATATGTATAACAGGCATTGCACTTACATCACATTCACTGTGATGATACTTCTCAAAAACATGGCCAAAATGCAAGACTTTGCACTTAGATTCTTATATGCCTGCCTATTGGAATTTGGGAGCATTTGAAAAAAGAAAGGAAAAAGGGTCAATTTTACATCATCATCAAGCACTCAAACTTACCCATTTCCCACAGAAACTTTTCTTAATAAGAGGTATGTTAGAAGAGCGAGAGCTATCCAGTATTGTTATTTTTTAAGAAAAATGTCCAAGTTGCCACTTGTAAATGTGTCAACTTGGTTAGGCTATGATTCTTAGTGATTTGGCAGACTCTATGTAATCAACTTCCATTTGGTGGTCTGATGTAAACATCCAATCCACTGGAAGGGGAGTTTCCTTAGGGGTGTAGCCTGCCTCCAGTATATAAACGGATGTTCTGGCAAAGCTCACTCTTTTTGCTTCACCCTGCATTCTTCTCTTCAACTGGATGTAAGCTTGCAGAAATCTCTGGCCTGCCTCCTGACCTGCAGATTTTGGGTTTGTCAGCCCCTGCAACCACGTGAGCCAGTAGAGATCTTCAGTCTGTTGTCTGACCCATGGAGTTGGGACTTGTTAGCCCCCACAATTGCTTTAGCAATTTCCTTGAAGTAAATTTCTCTTTATGGAGCCCTGGTGATGCACTGGATAAGAGGCTTGGCTGCTAACCAAAAGGTCGGCAGTTCGAATCTACCAGCAGCTCCTTGGAAACGCTATGGAGCAGTTCTACTATGTCCTATAGGGTCGCTATGAGTTGGAATCGATTCGACAGCAATAGGTTTGGTTTTTGTATCTCTATATGCTTCACTGGCTTTGCTCCTCCAGAGAACTCAGAGTAAGACACCCTCCACTGCTGAAAAATAAAATCATTTTTACTTAAACTAAAAGCTGAGAAACACTTAACTAAGTAACAATGAAGCATAACCCATAATGTTTACAATGGGTGGGTATTTTTCCTATTTCCAAAAAATAACTGACACAGAAAAGGCTAATTAAGTTACAGCTTAAAAAAAACATGAATTAAAATAGAAAAGTAGAAAAGGACAAAAACTGACCTCCCAAATAAGTATGAATTAAACTATTGAATACAATTAGTATTATCCATCTATATAGCAAAATATCTGTTATATAGCCAATAAACTTTGATATTAACACAGTATGTGCTTTCTTGTACTTCCGGAATGTGATAGGCAAAAGGTGAAACTACTTCTTGAGGCAGTACTTCTGAAATGCTACAGAAGGGCATTTTATTATCACCTAAGAAGATAATTATCTTACTGTATCATGTGGTAATAGGCATGTATCGTTCTTGCATTTATAAGCTATGACAAATTATATGAAGGTAAATTAAAGTGGGGCAAGCATTATATGGCTTTGCTGAGGGTAATTTTGATGTTTCTCTTGTATATAACAAAAAAAAAATTAGATCTTGTTTTAAATTCCAATCTAAGATCTTTTGCTGTTAAAACAGATATCTAGGTTGTTTATAATCAGTCACTATTGTTTTTCTTTTTTGAAATGTCATCTTTTAAGTTTATATATATATATGTTTCTATATTTTATATTCTTGCTTTCTATTAAGGTAAAGTTTTTTTTGTTTTGTTTTGTTTTGTTTTTTGCTTTTTCAGCTGCATTCCATTGTTACCTCTATGATTAGTTACCTTCAAGCCGAGGCTGTCACTTCTTATGCTCATAAGGATAGCTTGTGCATCCCAGTTCCGGCTTTCTCATTCACAATCTTCTGGATATTGTTGTTGTTTGGGTTTGTTTTTAGGTCATTCTAACGCACAAAGTTCTGATTTGTAAGCTCTGCCTGTGTTGTAAACATCTTTAAAATTATATTTACCCCTTGGCTAAGGGTAAAAATTGGATGGATAAAAATTCTCTTTAACAATATTACCGTGGATATAGCAAAGCAAACTACAGCTATTAGCCTCAATCCTTTTTTTCTTTATGGGTTGGTGTTTTAATTTGCTTCACGTAGTCTTTAGCAGTTTGCAAGGCGTCTTTTATCAGATAAGTGTATAAGGGGCTCTGGCAGCAACAGATCTTTGCTGAGGATGTCACACATTTTAGAGCAGTTACCAGAACTCGATTTAACCTGAGGAAGCTAAAAACGGTAACCGCTTTCCTGTTTACGCTTGTTCAGGCCTCCGTCTGAGCAGGCTCCAACGCAGAGAAAGGAAACCTAAGCAGAATCGAAAGTAAATTGCCGACGGGCTGGTAGGGTTGATCTTGGCGCAGCTCTGGTCGCCCGCGGCCACCTCTCATTCCAAGAACCCTTAGTCCTCCTGTCTCCCCGCTTTCCAGTTGGACAGGAGGAGGAGCCATCTTCAACAAAGCCAAAAATGCGAAAGAAGAAGGCGCCCTCTCAGATACCTACCCAGCGTCTGACTTTATTAGGGTCGAGTGTCTTGAAAATGAATCGTATATTTTATGTTTAGTTGATTCAGGCAGGAGAGTAAATCTGGTTCTTGTTATTTTATCTTGGCAAGAGAGAACAACATCAACTTCTGGAAGGAATTTTGCATTTTATAATTCTAAAGGCTGTGTCAGTGTCGCTGATATTTTGCTTACAACGCACTCAACTTTGTATCGTATTATCGCTTTTATTCTGGAGGGCATTTTCTTTCAGGGCCAGCTGCTTTGTCCCTTATCCATGGCTGAGGCTCAGGAAATATTTACGGTTTTGATAGATTTCTACAAACCACTCATTTCGAAAGTTGTTGTTGTGCGCCCTCGACCCCATTGCGCTCACAGCCAGTAGAAGAAACAGTAGAACTCCCTCCTAAGGGAGTGTCCGAGACTGGGATCCTTCCGGAAGCTGCCCACGAAGCCCTTCCAGTTCCCGTACCTCTTGCAGAAGTAACTTCTTTTAAAGCTGTTAAGCAGTGGGTGGTCCTCTGAGGGGGAAGATGTCAGCTGTGGACGCTTCATGGGAAATGTTACAAAAAGACCTTGCATTCGGAGACAAAATGCTGGAGAAAGGATCAGGTAATGGAACTGATGAAATTTGAAAAGATAAAAGCACAGGGTAGGGGGAGCTTTTCTTCCACAGAAGCATGTTAGAAACTGCGTTTTAGGCAAGCTAACAGTCCACAGTCCACCTCCATAAAAGGGGTTAAGTTTTGGAGGGATGGAGGTGGGTGGGAGGAGAGGTGTGCGGAAGGAGAGGTGTATAATTTTTACTCAGTTATTGCATTGCTGTGTAAATTACTTAAACATTTCTGGAGCAGGAGAAATAGTCAATTAGATTACAAAAGGATGAGGAAAAAATGCTGTTTGTGTTTGTATTGTTAGTCCTCTCCTTTACCCAGGTCCCTGGCAACTTGCACCCCAGCAGGCTACATTATGATGTTAATAACAGGTCTTTTCTATCTTAGAGTGGATGGCAAACTCAGAGACTCCAACAATGCTGTAATTTACATACTAGCAAAAGGTACCCCAGCAAAAGCTGGGATTTTTGGTTTGTAGATTCTTTGTAGTTTAAAATGATAGGGGCGGGGGGGACGGGGATTCAGGGTTGGAGGTTGGGGGACCGAACCAGCAAATCTCTTAGCATGTTCAGTTTATGGCAAATTTGATGAGAAAGAGGAACAACATAATGGCTGTATGTTTGTACTTCTGTCTTCTGCTTGATAAAAATACACACACACACACACACACACACACACACACGTACATATACACATACATATACGTATTTTTCTTTCCTCCTCCTCACCTCCCTCAATTTGATTTTTTGTTTGGCAGCAGTGGTTACTGGATTTCTTGAAAAACAGGGTTCATGTTTACAAAAAACGAAGTTGTTAACTACTTCCAGTATTCAGCTAAGCCAAGTGCTTACGTAATGGAGAAACAAAATGACCAGTCAGAATGTTACACGTTGGAAATGTGAAATTTGTATGTAGAACTGTCTGAGTTTTTGTAAGTTAAGTTTTGTGGATCATGCAGCTAAGAATTAAAATTCGAGAAATAATATGGTTCATTATTTTGTTCTCCTAAGAGATAATTCCTAATACTATTTTTCCAACTAGAAATTTGAAGGTTACTGTGTTGAGAGTGTGATATAAGCAGCATGTGAATTTGGGGGGAGACAAGAAGAGGAGACAGCATAAGAAGTATACAAGAAAAGTAAGCAAGAGAGATTGTAACAAGGCAGAATGTACCAGCAGGAGCTAGATATAGGGAAATAAAGGGAAAGAGACAAGAAGGAATTTTAGGTAATTAATAAAAGGGGCAAGTAGGAGATTTACTGGGGATATTTAAGGGGAGATTTACATTTTACTCTTCTAATATTGGGAAAAAATTACAAAAGTCATGATATACTGAGTCTTTTAAGACACTTTGTTTTAATGTAGGACTGGAAAGAATGAAGATAAAGCTTTTTATATGGAGACAAAATCCAAATGACATTGTTTACCACTTAAAACCTTCCCATCCTGTATTTCATATATTCTTCCCTTTTTGGAATTTAACCACGACTCTCTGTTACCCTGGGGGATGTATGTGGAATGAGTAAAATGTGATGGTTAAAATAGAGTCAGCAAGAAATTGTTTTTTGTAAAGTATATACTTACATTCAATAAAATTCACCCCTTAGGTGCTCATTTCTATGAGTTTTGACAAACACATACAATCATGTAACCACCATTACAGTCAAGATAGAGAACTGTTCCATAACCCCCCAAAGTTCCCTCATGCCCCTTCATTGCCTTTCTCTGTCCTGCCTCCTAGCCTTTGGCAGTCCTGTTTTCTGTTCCTGTACTTTTGTTTTTCCAGAATGTCATATAAATGGAATCCTACAGTGGGCAACTTTGGAGCCTGACTTTTTGCTTTTTTAGCTTTAACACACAGAATTTATTTTCTCACAGTTTAGGAGGCTAAAAGTCTGAAATCATGGTGCTGGCTCTCAGGGAAGTCTCTGTCTGCTCTGAAGGAAGATCCTAGTCTCTGAGCTTCTGCTCCTCTGTGATCTTTGTTTTTTATTGTTGTAATTAAATGAAGTTTACATTTCAAGTTAGTCTCCCATACAGTTTTTTTTTTTTTTTTTAAGTATACATTGTTATGAGACCCTAATTGCTTACCCCATTCTGCTACAGCACACTCCTCCTTTCCGCCCCTGATTCCCTACGATCACTCAACCAGCTCCTAACTCTCTCTGCCTCCCCATCTCACCTCTGGACAGAAGCTGCCCCTTTTTGTATCTACTTGACTAAGAGGCATGCTCTTCACGAGTATCACTTTATGTCCCACAGTCCAGTCAATCCCTGTCTGAAGAGTTGGCCTTGGAAATTGTTTTAGTTCTGGGCTGATAGAGAGTCTAGGAGCCATGATGTCTGGGGCGCCACCAGTCTCAGACCATTAAGTCTGGTCTTCTTCCTAGAATTTGAGTTCTGTACCCCATCCTTCTACTGCTCCATCAGGGACCCTCTGTTGTGTTCCCTGTCAGGACGTTCTTGGTGGTAGCCGGGCACCATCTAGTTCTTCTGGTCTCAGGCTGATGAAGTCTCTGGTTTATGTGGCCCTTTCTGTCTCTTGGGCTAATACTTTCCTTGTGTCTTTGGTGCCCTTCGTTCTCCTTTACTCCAGGTGGTTGGGACCAATTGATGCATCTCAGATGGCCGCTTGCAAGTCTTTAAGACCCCAGACGCCACTCACCAAAGTAGGATGCAGAACATTTTCTTAATAAGCTTTGTTATGCCAGTTGACCTACATGTCCCCTGAAAGCATGGTCCTCAGAACCCCCATCCCTGCTACTCTGTCTAAGTATTTGATTGTATTCAGGAAACTTCTTAGCTTTGGTTTAGTCCAGTTTTGCTGGCTTCCCCTATAGTGTGTGTTGTCCTTCCCTTCACCTAAGATGATTCTTATCTACTATCTAGTTATTGAATAACCCTCACCCTCCCTACCCACCCCCGAAACCATCAAAGAATGTTTTCTTCTGTGTTTAAATCTTTTCCTGAGTTCTCGTAATAGTGGTCTTATACAGTATTTGTCCTTCTGTGACTGACTAAATTCACTCAGCATAATAACTTCCAGCTTCCACCATGTTATACGATGTTTCACAGCTTCATCGTTGTTCTTTATTGTTGTGTAGTATTCCATTGTGTGGATATACCATAATTTGTTTATCCATTCATCTGCTGATGGGCACCGAGGTTGCTTCCAACTTTTTGCTATTGTGAACAGTGCTGCAGTGAACATGGGTGTGCATATATCTGTTCGTGTGACGGCTCTTATTTCTCCAGGATATAGTCCAAGGAGCAGGATAGCTGGATCCTGTGGTACTTCTATTTCTAGCTTTTTAAGGAAGCACCAAATTGATTTCCAAAGTGGTTGTACCATTTTACATTCCCACCAACAGTGTATAAGTGTTCCAGTCTCTCCACAACCTCTCCGGCATTTATTCTTTTGTGTTTTTTGGATTAAGGCTAGCCTCGTTGGGGTGAGATGATATCTCATTTTAGTTATGATCTGCATTTCTCTAATGGCTAATGATCGTGAGCATTTCTTCATGTGTCTGTTAGCCACCTGGGTATCTTCTTTAGTGAAGTGCCTGTTCATATCCTTTGTCCATTTTTTATTTGGGTTATTCGTTTTTTTGTTGTTGAGGTTTTGCAGTATCTTGTAGATTTTAGAGATTATATGCTGATCGGATTTCTCGTAGCCAAAAATTTTTTCCCAGTCTGTAGGTTGTCTTTTGACTCCTTTGGTGAAGACTTTTGATGAGCATAAGTGTTTGATTTTTAGGAGCTCCCAATTTATCTAGTTTCTCTTCTGGTGCTTGTGCATTGTTACTTATGGTTGGTATTGTGTTTATGCCATGTATTAGGGCTCCTAGCATTGTCCCTATTTTTTCTTTCATGATCTTTATCATTTTTAATTTTATATTTAAGTCTTTGATCCATTTTGAGTTAGTTTTTGTACATGGTGTGAGGTATGGGTCTTGTTTCAGTTTTTTGCATATAGATATCCAGTTATACCAGCACCATTTGTGAAAGAGACTATCTTTTCCCCAATTAATGGACTTTGGGCCTTTGTCAAATATTAGCTGCTTATAGGTGGATGGGTTTAAATCTGGATTCTCAACTCTGTTCCATTGGTCTATGTATCTGTTTTTGTACCAGTACCAGGCTGTTTTGACTACTGTGGCCATATAATAAGTCCTAAAATCAGGTAATGTAAGGCCTCCCACTTTGTTCTTCTTCTTGAGTAATGCTTTATTTATTCAGGGCCTCTTCCCTTTCCATATGAAGTTGGTGATTTGTTTCTCCATCTCATTATAGAATGCGGGTGGAATTTGGGTCGGGACTGCATTTTATCTGTAGGTTGCTTTGGGTAGAGTTGACATTTTCACTATGTTGAGTCTACCTGTCCGTGAGCAAGGTATATTTTTCCACTTATGCAGGTCTCTTTTAGTTTCTTGCAGTAGCGTCTTGTGGTTTTCTCTGTATAGATCTTTTACATCTCTGGTTAAATTTATTCCTAAGTATTTTATCTTCTTGGGGGCTAGTGTAAATGGTATTAATTTGGTAATTTCCTCCTCAAGGTTCTCTTTCTTGGTGTAAAGGAATCCAGTTGATTTTTGTATGTTTATCTTGTATCCTGGAACTTTGCTGAAATCTTCTACTAGTTCCAGTAGTTTTCTTGTGGATTCTTTGGGGTTTTCTGTGTATAAGATCATATCATCTGCAAATAGAGATACTTTGACTTCTTCCCTACCAATCTGGATGCCCTTTATTTCTTTTTCAAGCCTAATTGCTCTGTTGAGCCTGACCTTTTCACTTAGCCTAATGCATTTGAGTGTCATCAGACCATAGGGTCACAGGAATAGGAAGCAAAAATTTTACGAGTGGGTCACTAGGAGTAATGGTTAATGGTGCCACTCCCATTTCCACTCCTTGATTCTTGAACTCATGAATCTTGGCTATGGGAGAAACAGCACCATATATTGGAGAACATTTCCCCAACCCTGGAAGGTATTGCCACCTAGCTGGTGCCATAACTGTGTCTTAAGAAGACCATTCCATCATTCTGTCAAGCCAGCTGCTTCAGGATGATGGGGAACATGGTAATACCAGTGAATTCCATGAGCCTGGGCCCACTGCTGCACTTCATTTGCTGTGAGGTGAGTCCTTTGATCCGAGGCGATGCTGTATGGGATAATATGATGGTGGATAAGGCATTCTGTAAGTGGACAGATGGTAGTTTTGGTAGAAGCATTACATGCAAGGAAGGCAAATCTGTATCCAGAGTGTCTATTCCAGTAAGAACAAAATGCTGCCCTTTCCATAATGGAAGTGGTCCCGTGTAATCAACGTGCTACCAAGCTGCTCGCTGATCACCTTGAGGAATGGTGCCATTTCAGGGACTCAGTGTTTGTCTCTGCTGCTAGTAGATTAGGCACTCAGCAGTGGCTGAAGCCAAGTTGGCCTTGGTGAGTGGAAGTCCATGTTGCTGAGC